TGATGTAAATGTGATTTTATCAAATGAGAGGTTTGATGTTGGCAAATGGATGACTTCAAAATGTTTTCATCCATTCATTCAAGCAACATTTTCCCCAAGAATGAAATGCTTATCTACTGATAGCTAAACGCCATGCTCATGATGACCTCATCAGGGGGTTTAACAGCACACAGCTCGCAGTCCAATTGCGACTTATTCAGTAGAATCCATAGAATAGTAGCAAGGATGGCTGACATGTCTTGAGAATTGGGTAATTCCACTGCCAGATAGAAACAGGGCAGCTGGACACCAAACCACAGATGGACTGCAGATGCACTGAAGGAAGTCATTACAGTTGTATGAAATTTGGGGCTGGCTTGACAAAGAGGAAGCCTGCTGGTTTAAGAACTGTATGTTCTTGGCAAAAGCATGGTGTTACAGAATTCCACCAGCCATAGTGAAAAAAAGGGGGGGGGATGGAAATGGGAGGATACCACAAAATTCATGATATGATACATAAAATGTTAACTATCTATTAGCTTTGCATCTTTTGAGAATCACTAGATTGAAGAACAGTAATTTAGATTTGGTTGGCAGATGGTATACACAGACTTTCTGAGTATGTTAGCATTTCATTTGAAGCTAGCAGGATTACATAGGACTGTCATGGTAATTTAACTATATGTTTTAAAACTTATCCCAAGCCCAGCCTGCGTGGCTCAGTGATTGAGCATCAACCCATGAACCAGGAGGTTACGGTTTGATTCCTGGTCAGGACAAATGCCTGGGTTGTGGGCTTGATCCCCAGTAGGGGGCGTGCAGGAGGCAGCCGATCAATGATTCTCTCTCATCATTGGTGTTTCTATCTCTCTCTCCCTCTCCCTTCCTCTCTGAAATTTAAAAAAAAAAAAATTTTTTTTAAATCCCTAAACCGGAGTTAAATGTGGGGCCCTAATAACATATAAAAAGGCTTTGTTAATAGATCTGGATCTCATAAAACAAAATCACAGGATATAATAATTTTTCTAAAATGCCTACGGGGTAGTGTCAATGTCTTTTTTTCCTTGAAAATCTGATTTATGCAAGAGAAAAGAAGAAAGACTAAACCAGGGGATGGCAGGTATTGATGCCTCAATTTTTTGAATGGGATTCCTCCATTTACCCCTCCTCTCACTTCCTTCTGTGGTTTAATCATCACATCAGCTAGCCATATAGGGTTCAGGTTAATCTCTGGTTGACATCATCCTACTACTTCCTTTTTCAAATTCTAGTGAAACTTATGTGATTCCTGTCCTGTTTGAACACTAGAGATAGAACTTGGCTGGTTAGTATCTACATTTAGACTGGTCGAGTTTTGAAAGAGAGAAACAAAAACAGGTGACATTTCCAAGTCTATCAAGAAAAGGGGAGAACCTCCAACACTCTGGGTTCAGTAAGCAGGGGGAGCTCTACAGTCACAACAGGGAGAGCTGTGCAGGCTCAGAAGGCTGGGCGACTGAAGC